TTGCCCCAACTGGGCAGGGTTCCCTCCCTCTTCTGAAGACCTTATGGCCTCTGACCTGCACTGGCAAGGTTCTTGTTTCTTCTGGAAACACAAGAATGGGGGATAGAAAATACTGATGGAGAGGCTTTGTGGTTAACAGCTTTGGGGAGAGGGACTTAAGACAAGGTACTGCAGATCAGAGCGAGTGTGGCTGAGGAGAAGGACTTGGGGGTGTTGGTTGGTGAGAAGCTGAACATGAGCCGGCAGTGTGTGTTTGCAGCCCAGAAAGCCAACCGTGTCCTGGGCTGCATCAAAAGAAGTGTGACCAGCAGGTTAAGGGAGGTGGTTCTCCCCCTCTATTCCACTCTTGTGAGACCCCCCCTGGAGTACTGCATCCAGCTCTGGAGTCCTCTGCACGGAAAAGACATGGACCTGTTGGAGCAAGTTCTGAGGATGGCCACAAAGATGATCCCATATGAGGACAGTCTGAGAGTTGGGGTTGCTCAGCCTAAAAAAGAGAAGGCTTTGGGGACACCTTATAGCAGCCTTCCAGTACTGAAAGGGGACTTATAGGAGAGCTGGGGAGGCACTCTTGATCAGGGAGGGTAGTGATAGGACAAGGGGTAACGGTTATAAGCTGAAAGAGGGTAGATTTTGATTGGATATTAGGAAGAAATTTTTTTCCTGTGAGGGGGGTGAAGCAGTGGCACAGGTTGCCCAGGGAAGCTGTGGATGCCCCATCCTTGGAGGTGTTCAAGGCCAGGCTGGATGAGGCTTTGAGCAGCCTGGTCTAGTGGAGGGTGTCCCTGCCCGTGGCAGGAGGGTTGGAACTAGATGATCTTTAAGGTCCCTTCCAGCCCAAACCGTTCTGTGATTTGATGAGGTGTGGAGTGTGGCAGCAGACTTAGCACTGGTGATGTTGTGTTATGCTTGGCCTGCTGCCATCATGTTGGTGCTTTGCCCATCAGTACTTAAAATGCTTTCTTGTCTCTATATGCTAGGTGTTTACAAAGCACTGGTAGTTTGGCTATTTTGAAATACACCAAGAGTACTCTGGAACCCAAATTCAGCACATCAAATCCGTGGCCTGTGGATTGAGAATCTGGTTGGGGTGAGTCTGCACTGCCCCTGTTTCAGAAACTGTCACTTGTTACAATGATAGCTTTTTGTAGTGTAAGTTTGTTGGGGAGAACAGTCAGTTATGTTGCCCCAACTCTTCATGCACCCTAGCCTTAGTATTTTGTGCCTTTGGAAGTGTCTGGGCAGGGGGAACTTTACAGAAAATTATTTTAGCTGTGTTTCTTCACACAGTAATTAGGTAGTGGTTGTTGGGGGTTTTTAAATCCTTCCACTGGCTGCCATAGGGTGGTGTTTGCAATAGCAGTTTTCTTGTACTAATTGAAGCAGTGTGATGGCCTAAAGCATTTGCTGTTGATCACCTTGCCTTTATTTTAGCTGAGGAGAGGAGAGTGTTAATTCAGATTTAAATATGTTAATATGCATCAGGTACTTAAAGTAATTGCATTTAAACTACTGTCAGAAACTTTTATACTGAGCATTGCTTAGACTTATTCTGAGACATCTTACACCTTGTCCCAGCAGCTTGTAGCTTTCCAGTTGTATCTTCTAGTTTCAGAATATTTACTAAAGCTACATGAATCTGTCTCAGTATTCATTTTCCTTTGGAACTGGTGGTTCCTGTGTACTTTCAACAGCTAGCTTTGGGAATGAGAGAAGAGGACTTCACTGGTATCTTTGTTGCCATCTGTGTTCATTGGGAAAGTATTCCCCAAAAGAGGTTGCAATATAGAAAAGACTTATCAACAGTTATCTTCAGATAGCATAGCATTTTGTTTCTCTACAGTGTGAACTGCAAGTAAGAGAGGTCAGGCTTTTAATTAAGTGTTTGTATAAATGTTAATTCCGTGTATCACTATTTCCACAGCTCTGAAGAGATCACTTTCTAATTAAAGATGGCTGCTGATACCTCTGTTGAAATACTTCAGAAAGTTTTGGAGAATGAAATACTTCAGACTACCAAGATTGTGGAAGAACAACTGGATGCTGGAATCCAGAAGCTGGATCAAATGGATGAAGATGAACTGGAATGCCTTAAACAAAGGAGGCTTGAGGCACTAAAAAAGGCCCAGCAGCAGAAACAAGTAATTCCCATAGTAATACAGGCTCTTGATGTCTACTACGTAACAGACTTGATGGAAATCCTAGGGAAATTACATACATGAACTAAGTGTTTTGGGGTTGTTTGTTGGGTTTTTTTCTTCCTCACCTTTCTGTACTTACTAATTTTAAATTATCCAAGAAGGCAAGTGTCTGTCCATGTGTGCATGCTTTGTGTTTTTTAACAGGAGAAGAACTTCTGTGATTGTTTACAATAAGGATAGGATAAAGAGTCTCATACAAAGATCTGAGTGTGTCCGTATTCACTGAACATTGCTATCTGGAAGCATAAGCCTTGTAGGCAACCTAATCATAAGCCTTTAGGCTCCTTAAGCTTCTGAATTCTGGAGATTTTTAGTTACGGCATGTAAGGGCTGCATGCTCTTCTTCTAAGCTCTTTTGTAGAAGAAGGATACAGGGTCTGTCCTTGTTCCTAGGGTGGAATCGTTTGTCCCACTTCTTCTAATCCAATTAAATGTTGTCTTTGTGTGACTACTAATTTCTTCTTGCAGGAAAGAGATGCTACTTTGGTCCCTGATAACTTCATGTTCAATTGTGGTTTTTATGCTCCCCAAAAACTCTTCGAACTTAGTTCTCACTGAAATTTTGGTAATGTGGCGTGAGACCTGAATTGTAAATAGGGAAGCCATAGGTCTTTTAGCTTAGAGCATCTATGCAAATGTAAACAAAGAAATAGACTGGGTTGGAGGGAACATGACTGGGTTGGCAGGAGGTGCTTTGTCTGTGGTGGAACCCCTAAAAGCTAATGCTGTTCTTTGAAACAAAATGTCATGGCATGGTTGGGGTGCTGGAGGACAGTGTTAGCGGCTTTGATTCTCTGAACGTGTCAGGAGAGAAAATGGCACACTATTTACTTGTCTTCAGAAGTTCCATTTATATTTGATTCTAGTGTTTTCCTTTTTCAGAAGTTGTAACACTTGGATGTTCTTGGATGTGAAGGTGTGGTAGTTCTCATGTGAAAGCTTGTTCATGTCAGTCACTGTTCTCATGTGTTTTCAAATGCGAATTTGAAGTAGGATACTACTCAGTAAAAGGAGTAAGCTGCCACACACAATAGGATTGTGCAGAGGGGAATTAATACATGCCCACTGTTGAAGCATAAGTCAGTTGTTGATTTGCATCATGGTTACTTCTTTATGTGCTCATACTTCTATGCATTTTTAATGTGTACAATGTTCAGGAAATTCTTTGTTCTATCCTAACTTAGGTTACAGGATATAAGGTTATTTTTGGTTTATTTGGAAACCTTTTTTTTTTTTCTTCACTATGCTAAGTCAAAACTTCAAGAGCGGTGATTTATCTAAATCTTTACCCCCACTGAAAACTAGGTTTTTTGTCAAGTTCTGTCATGCTGCAGTACTTCTAATCATTTAGCTTAGTCTGTATTTGTTTTAATGCATGACAGTTAGCTTCCAGTATTATAGAGGCTCAGTGTTTTTTCTTAAGTGCATTTGTTGAAAAACTAGAAGATTCGCTTTTTATAAACTGTATTTGCAGTTAATCAGGCATTTTTTTGAAGTTGCCTGTAAATTTTATCTTGTGAAATTCTGTTTCTCCATGCATTTTATGACTCATGGTATGTGTGTGATTTCTGAATGGCTTTCTGGAAGCCTGGCTCATATTAAGATAACTTCAGTGTATATTTGATAGATAAACATAATCTGTTGCAGGTGAGTTAGTAGGCTTTTTTTCTCCCTGATTTTTTCATAGAGGGAAAAATTAGAAGAAATCTGTTTTAATACATGTAATTACATGAATCAGTTTTAGATGACTGAGTTCTTTGAGTGTACAAAAACATTTTAGGGAGAGTAGACCAGGCTGTTGATGAGCAGTTTTTAAATGCTGAGAATTTTCTGTTGTTGGTGTTTTCTTTGAACTAGTGTAGTCTTACTGAGAGGCTGCACTGCAGAAATTTATGCAGCTCTGTACTTCCAAATAAGTGAGGTAGCTTTACTGCTCAACCACCTGTCTCTTCTTGAGAAAGAGGAAACACAAAAGTATTGTCTAGCCTAGTGGCATCTGTGTATTTTCAAAACAGAACTAAAGGTAGGGGAGTGATTGGTTTCTGTTACTGTATGAAATGGGTTTCCACTGCAGGCCCCCTCCTTTTATTTTTCTTAAAAGCTCTAGAGCTTGTATGACAGGTGCAGGACTAACAAACTCCATACTAATTATTTCCTTTTATGTTCTCTGAAAGGAGTGGCTTTCAAAAGGACATGGAGAATACAGAGAAATCCCAAGTGAGAGAGACTTTTTCCAAGAAGTCAAAGAAAGTAAAAACGTGGTTTGCCATTTCTATAGAGATACTACGTTCAGGTATAGTAAATAAGCTATGCTCAAGAAACTTTTGTTTATAGATGTCTACAAAACCAGACATGTTCTTTCAAATCCCGCAAATAAACAGGCATTTTTAGAAGTATTCAAATTCCTTCATTTTCCAAATCTCACTTCCTTCTCAAGACATTTTTTTTAATTTTTTTTTCTATTCCGGTTAATCTGGACATGATTTGACAATGATTAAAACCCTGTTACATAGTATATTAGAGATATTACTTCTTTGACAATGTTTGAGAGCATGCTGTGTTTCATTACTGATTTAGTTTGAGAGAGTCAGCTCTGTAAACGTAGTGACCATACAGGAGCAGCATTTCAAAAAGATCTCTTCAGTTATTCCAGACAGATATTTTGGACAGTTCTGGCAAATGAAAATAAAAATATAAACAAAAACTTGCCTAGCCACCTTGAGAATTTAACCTGTTATTTTGAAAGGATCTGTAGATATCAATTGCAGCTGCTATCCCTTTGTGCCTGTGCCTTTGTGATTATGTCACTTTTTTAGGGTGTGAGAGACCCAGATCTCAGAATATGTCCTGACTCAGAATAGGAACCTAAAATAAGATCTCCCACTTCCTTGGAAGAATTTTGGAAGTTCTGGGTTGTAGGCTGTTCCTCAGTGGGTCTGTCTCAATGTCTGCTGTTAAAATGCAATTGGAAAGTAGAGTAGCTTGTTGAAGGAGGAACCAGTTGTCCTGGTTTTTGTTGGTTGGGGTTTTTTTTTTCTCCCAATGTTCTGTGTAGGTTGTAGAATATAAACTGAAGCAGCCTCAATGTTAGAAATTGCAGGAGGTCAAAGCTGGATTATGCAGTGATGTATGTGCATCCTACATTTTCTAAGTTATGTGTTTTAAGTTTCAGAAATATCTGAACCAGTTGTATTTGTCTAGCTTCTATTCAAAGAAATTGAAAGACTGTCTCTGTAAATAAAGTAGCTTAGAACAGGTTTGTGTTGTATGGTTCTTGTTTCTTGAACCAAAAAAGTCTGTAGACAGGAGAAAGGACTTCCGCTGAAGTTCTTTGTAAAAGGTGTCATGCTGACAACCAGCTTGAAGGTAGTGTGTCAGGTTTACCAACCACTGTATCAAGTTGCTTTCATCCTTGCCCACTCCAGCTTTTTGGTCTACTTGGCTCTCCTCTTGAGTTAAAAGACAGTCACATCACAGAGTTCATGAAACTAAGCCAAACCACTTAAAGAAGATAATCCAGAAAGTTGAGACTGCAGGTGACAAGACCACAAATCTCTGCCATCTGACAAGTGTTTTGAGCAATTCATGTTACTGTCCCTTAGCTGAGAAGCAATAATTGTATGCTCACTTCTATTCCATTGCAACAGATAAGTGAAATATTTTTAACGATAGCACTACTGAAGCAGTCTGTGCAAATCACTGTTTTTTTTCTTTCTTTCTGTACACCGAGTTACTGCTGCATCTCTGTTGTGGAGGTAGTGACTGAAAAAAAAAAGAAGTTGTAACATGTTGAGCTCTTTTGAAAATTAAGTTCATTATAGAGAATTTTTGCCAGCTGACAAGTGGTGAAGCTAGAGCAGGAAGACTAGAAGTCAGAGGGAAATTTGATCAATAAATGCAGGCCTCAAGAAATGAGAGAGGCTTTCAGATGTATGTGAGAGTAGTTAGGAAGAAGTAAGAGAAATGGGTGGTGTAACTGTGTAATATAAAGGTGGTCCAAGATGCTCATAGTAATTAAATCCAGCTACCTTTGAAACACAGTGTCTCTTGAAACTAAATTCTTAATTATTAAGGTCATATCTGAGGAATTAACGTGATAGAACTAGCTCTTTGCTGTTCCTTTCAGACTTTCTCTAAAATACATGTTCTTCGGCTTATTGATTCTAACACTTTGGTTTTTTCACAGGTGCCAAATAATGGACAAACATTTGACTGTACTGGCGAAAAAGCACATTGAGACAAAATTCTTGAAATTAAATGCTGAAAAATCTCCTTTCTTGTGTGAGAGACTGCGCATCAAAGTAATTCCCACTCTAGCACTAGTAAAAGATGGAAAAACACAAGACTATGTTGTGGGCTTTACTGATCTTGGTAACACTGATGACTTCACTACAGAGACCTTAGAATGGAGATTAGGCTGTGCAGATGTAATTAATTACAGGTAATTAATTGTTTTGTGTTTGTTTCATTTTCATATACACTGCAAGGAGGACATACTTGCAGACAGGAGAATCTGGAAAAATTTGTAACTTTGGCTGATATCTTGTATGCTTAAGACACACAAGAGTTTATTCCAGTTATTTAATCTGTATACTTGGGCAAGGGAAAGAAGAGAGTATCTCTTTGGCAAAATATTGAGACATAATGAGCATTGCGTTGTCCTTTTTGTACAGTAATAAAAACAGGAATTCTTGCCATAAGGTGTATAGAGTAGCTACACTGCTTTGATGTGGCCTCTCAGTGTCACACATCTCATGTAATCCTTTTTAAGTCAGCTATAGATGCTTAGATGTCGCAGTTGCAATGCAGTAGAGTGTTTTTAATCCACTTCAGAGAAAACTCAGCTAGTCATCCTTAAACTGCATCTTAATCCATATTACATACATGAATGCGTTTTTTTTTTCCAATGAACAGTCACCACAATAGCCTAACTTTACAGGAGAATCATTTACCAGAACTTTCTGCTTTGCTTTCCAGTGAGGCTAAAACGCCGTCTTTTATCTTTTTAGGTTAATTTTGCTTTTTTTTGTTTTGAATGTCTTTGGCTTTTTTCTTTTATTTTAAACTTAATTATCTGAATTTATTTCAATGTCTAATTTCCAAATTTTGTCAAGAAGTATTATTGTATCTTAAAAGCAAAGAAACTGCTGTTCAATTTAGCTTAGTAGCTGTTGAACTTCAGATTAAATGACTGAAATGGAAATTTGTAATTCAAAGAAGTGGTAATACCCACTTCTCAGTTCAAATACACAGAGAAGTGAAAAGCAGCTTGGTTATATATTCTGGACAGCAATAGCCTTTTATGGGAGAAATCTTTCAGTGAAGTTGTACCAAGCTGCGTTGAATTTACTACGTTAGTACTTTGGCTTACAGCATAATTTTACTTCCTACTTGACTCTACTAGTACTGTATATTCCGCTCTTAGCTTTTTGAGGAGTGGGGGGTTTGTTTCATTCTTTGTGCATTTTGCCAGATTCTGAGTTTGGTACCCTGGCTTTGCAAAGTGAGCCACAGTGTCTGTACAGGCCAGGAGATTCATTCCAGGAAACATCCATTTATGTACAAGTGTTGCATTTCCTCACTGCTCTGAATGTGATGTCCCACTCTCTGGAGTTCCTGAAAAGGAGATAGTTCTCCTCAGAGCCTAGAAATAGTTCTTTTCCTTCAAACTGTGGGATAGCAGATGGTGAAAGGATATACTGTATTTAGGGGAAAAACTGTTTAGGTCATATTGTTGGACCAAAATCAGGATTCCAGTGGTGTATTGACTTACTACTGATATGTAATTAACTAGCAACCAGTGAATTGTACATTTAGGATCAATATCAGCAGAATGTTATTTACAATACCTACAAATTTTTGAACACCCTTCTATAGCTAATTCCAGGAGGTTCTAATTGCTTGCTTACTCACAGACACTTAGATGCAAACCCCTCACAGTCAGTGAAAGCACACATGCCCTTTTCTGAGCAACGGGATGGGATTCCCCTCCTTGTGCACCCTTGCCGTAGGAGATGTGGGTGCTCCAGCTTTATCTGAGCACCTGCTGTTCCCTACAAACCATGGACCCACACCCTGGTGAGAAAGTCCCCACAGGGTCATACATACTTCTACTCTGAAGTCTCTGTTACAAAGCTCTAGTTTCTTTTGTACTTCTGGCTCCTCATTTGTTTTGAAAAGTCTCTGTAATTCCCTGGTTACTGTATAATCTGACAGATGGTTGTCTTTAGCATGATCAGCTTGCAGCAGAAGCCCTTTCAGACAGTTTTTCTCTAGACCTCCAATTACAGGTGCTGTTTACACTCACACTCCTGTCTGAACTACAGTTATCCAGGCCATTTTGTCCAGGATGTCCTGTGCTAGCAACACCACCCTGCTACTCAGGGTGGCTCTGAGGAGTAGCGGTTGTGTTGTCTTAGTGTTTTTTCTGGAGAAGCAGGTAATTAGAGATGCTACTTACTGTCCACATGAATATGGCTTTAATCAACATGTCTTACTCTTTTTCTCCAGTGGAAACTTGATGGACCCACCTTTTCAAAGTCAAAAGAAATTTGGAACCTTTACAAAGCTGGATAAGAAGACCATCAGAGGAAAGAAATATGATTCAGATTCTGATGATGATGACTAGAAGAACAGCTAAATATATTTGTAAATCATCTTTTGTTTATGCTTGGTACATTTCTAAGAATGTTTTTATAAAGCTTACTGCTTTTCATTACATCTGCACATAATGCTCATTTTTCTATACAGTTTTATACAACTTAGTCATAGCAGAAAAAAGCTTAAATTTTTTTTCCCCTCTTTTGGAGGTCATTTGTAATTCAGAATTTAGTCCTTCTAACTAAAAAATGTGGCAAATGATGGACTTTGTCTTAAGTATAAGTTTATGAAGTGTTTTGAAGTAACTGTTAGAAACAACTGTACCAAGTCAGGCCAAAGGTCCCACTGGCCCAGCATCCAGTCTCAGTGGCCAAAAGCAGATGCACGAGGAAGAGTGAAAACAGGGTGAGCAGAGAGCGATGCTTCTCCAGAATCAAGCAATCTGTGGCTTGGGGAATTCTGTATCTGAGAGCCTGTGCCAGTTAAAATGTAAGAAAAATCTCTTTAAATCTTCATAGTATCCTAGCATCTGCATCATATGGCAAGGAGTGCACAGTTTAACAGTGTTGTGTGAAGAACTACTTTTTTTCCTTGAATCTGACGGTTCCGGGGCTTTTTTCCCTGATTTTCTTTAATAAGGAGATGATAGACACTTTTTTGAAAGAGTTTTCCTATCAGTTCCTCTTTCAGTTGTTTTTTAAAATTTATATTACCAGTAAAGCACCGCAAAATGATGAGTAAAGGAATTTTTTAAAAATTATTATCTTATGGTGCCATATTGTGATATTGAATAACCTAACTACATTGCACTATAAGTTGTAAAAAAAGTTGTAACTTCTGTGGATTCTGACATAGATTGTCAAGAGAAATGCTCTTTTACCATCTATGTACGCTGCATGTTAAAGCTGATACAGCAGGTAATAGCACACAGCAACAAGCATATGGAAAACAGCCTTGTTCACAGGTTTGTATAGTTCTGTGGTTTTGAATGTGTGGATTTTATAGCAGATGCTTTGTACAAGAGAATAGAATAGAGAAAAGTACTTGGGAGAAACGTTGATCTGTTAAGTTTAGATACAGCACCGCATACTGTGTACTGTTCTTCAGTAATGGACAGAATTTTCAAGGGATATCTTTTTTGGAATACAATGTAAAATTTCTGGGTAGGTGAAGAGTTGATGGGTTTTCATTTTCAAAAGAAGTACTTTGCCGTGTGCTGAAGGACCCTTTTGAGGTGGTACGTTTAATCCAGTTGGCCCAAAAAGCAGTGAAGTGGGTCTAGTCAGTCTTGCTGCATTGTAGTGGAGAACGCTTGTGATTGGGCCAGCCCAGCAATATATCTCTGTAAGTACATTTAAAAAATTATATTTTATTTCTGTTCATGTACATTGAAATAAAATTATTTTAATTCTAATGTTGACTTTTGCATCCTTTCAAATAAGGTGGTCTAGGTGTTGTGTGTTATCTTTTCTTTTAATAAGTTCCATCGGAAAGTTGCATGTGCTTTTTCTAGATTTCTAGCAAACTACTGACAGTTCTGTCTAACATTAAGACATCACTATCAGAAGGCAGTCAGCTTAAGATGTACACACTGTCTGTTAATCTACTAGAAGCATAAAGTAAACTTGCTTCAAGTTGGTCTCCTTTTTAATGCACAGCCTCCCTAAATGCACTAGAAAGTCATTTTTTGTTGTTGTTGTTTTTCAATTGGTTCCATTAAATTTAATTTAGGAAATCAATATTCCAACGGCATTTTTAAGAGTGTCTTAGCAGGACTCATTGCTGAGTCCTAATTATGTTGAACAGGCTGTGGAAATACAAGATCATGTCTATCATGATTGCATGCTGTGTGGAAACACGTGGGCTTGTTAGGATTCCATCATGGTGCGTAGTTAGAGGTTATTCAGTTCCATGTGTGAATAGCCCCATTACAAACTGTGCAGATCCTAGTCAGAGTCTGTGGTTTCATGTCACTTTAAGCTGCTCATGTTTTTTTTTCCTAAGTTGATCTTCAGTTGAACGTTTTCCTTCATCTGGCTTGTAATATGGCCACATGCACTCTAGCGCAGATACGAGAAAAAAATTGGGTAAAAGGGAATGTTGAGACTGTTTGTACTAATAAGTTTAAATTTATTTTGAAATAGCGGCCTCATAGTTCTGTCTGCTTCTTTACTTTTATGTCTGCTTTTTGCATTTCCTGTCTTGAAGATTAATACTGTCATTGAACAGTCCTCGTGGTAAGATCTCTCCATTCTTGATCTGCATATTTGAGATGATCCATCCAAATCCAAAAATGTTACTTTGTCTGAAACTTAAAATTTTTTAATAACTGGGGAAAATTCTTCTGGTTTGAGTTGTGAGTGTATTAGGTTTGTGTGTCAAGGTTTTGGTAGCGGTAATGGTGGGGCAGAGGTCCACCTGTAGCCCCTGGAGGACCCCACACTGGAGCAGGTGGATGTCCGAAGGAGGCTGTGACCCTCTGGGAAGCCCACACTGGAGCAGGCTCCTGGCAGGACCTGTGGCCCCTTGGAGAGAGGAGCCCAGGTTGGAGCAGGTTTGCTGGCAGGACTTGTGACCATGTCGGGGACCAATGCTGGAGCAGTCTGTGCCTGAAGGATGGCACCCCATGGAAGAGATCCATGCTGGAGCAGTTCATGAAGAACTGTGGCTGATGGAAAGAAGTCATGTTGGAGATGTGAGGAGGAAGAAACTGCAGAAACCTGTGATGAACTGACCCCTACCTCTATTCCCTCTCCCCCTGCACTAATGGTAAGGAGGAGGTGGAGAAAATCTTAAGTAAGTTAAGCCCAGGAAGAAGGGAGGGGTTTGGGGAAGGTGTTTAAAGATTTGGTTTTGTTTCTCATTACCCTACTCTGATTTGATTTGTAATAACTTAATTTTCCCCAAATTGAGTCTGTTTTGCCTGTGATGCTAATTGCTGAGTGATTTCTCCCTGTCCTTATCTCAACCCATGAGCTTGTTGTTGTATTTTCTCTCCCCTGTCCAGCTGAGAAGGGGGAGTGATAGAGCTGCTTTGGTGGGCACCTGGCATCCAGCCAGAGTCAACCCACCGCAGTGAGGAACGAATTATTATTCTATGATAGAGCTCAGTCATTTTGCAGTAGAGATTAAATAATGAAGTGTCCATGATAAGGACACTTAGCTTAGCAAGCTAGAAGTGTAAACCATCCAAAGAACACCAACTCAAACAAATATCAGCTCTACAGACTTCAAAAGCGTGAAGCTTAACTTTGTCAACAGCTAGTGGGAATATGGCTGATGGATGAGAAGATGATGATACACTATGTAGGAAGGATGCAGGCTGCGTGTGATTAATTGCTTATGGCAGATAGATTGTATATGTAAGGACATGACTAAATAAGATTCCCGAGCCTAGACTAATCACAAAATGGTACCTGGTCTCGCATGTTTTAGCCGTGAAAGGATATTGTACAATAAAAAGATGAGAAACGTTCACACACAGCTTTTGAAGTTATGGGGCTTCTGTATGAACTCAGCATGTAACTTGAGTAAAGATTAGTGCTTAGGTCTGTGCTTGATGCTTGCATGAAGTAATCATTAAAGAAATGCATGGGGAAAATAATAACCAAACAGGATCTGTGTTGTTCAGTTCTTAATGCTACATTATTTGGACTTGACTGAGCACTCCTTGATGGCTGATTGATCCCACGTCGTGCTTGTGATGCTCTGCTCTGGAAATCTACCTAGAAGTTAAGTGCTGAGTTGAGCTTTGGAAAGTGTAAAGAAGTCTGGTCCCTGAAAGAGGTGGGATGAGAAACAAACTAGAGCAGGCAACATCTGAGCAGCTGCTCTCAGATCCCATTCGTTTAGTAGGTTGGATTGCCTGCAAGTGTGATGGAGGTCATTGAGGGAGGCCGACTCAAAAGATGAATTTATGCTTTCCAGTCCTCTCTTCCAGGTAATCCACATTGTTCCGTTTCCCATCTAGAAATTTCAGTAGAAAATTTGGGCTTTGAACAGCATGGTTGCATTCTAAAACAAGCCCTTTGTCTTCCATGTAAGTGTACAGCCAGTGTCCACAACCCAGTGTCTCTCGCATGCACACAACCACAAACAAGTACAAGCTGGTGCAGAAATAATGTGGCTTCTGTACTCATTGCATTTTCAATATATTTCTATTCTACTTTTTTAAAGGAAAATTCTGTCAGTAGGGGGTTGATGTGTCTGTCTCTTCAGAACATCTGTAAATGATAGTTCAACGGTGATGGTTACACTCCAGAGTTTAAGGAAAGCCTCTCTAGGAATCAGAATTGGAGGGTACTTGATGTTACAGTTGAGTATTTTAGAATTGTTCTGAGGGGGATGTTGCCCCTGAGCCCCCTTTAAAGGATAAATAGGTAGATGGGTTCCAACACATTTGCGCAAATTACTGCTCTGAAGGTCTACTCTGATCTTTTGTTATTGGATCATGCTTTGGAGCCTTCAGAGTTAAGCCTGTCAAATATGATTGTGGTGATGCAAAACATTCTAGTCTCCCAGGTGCTCCTTGTTATCTGTCCCCCTGGAGAGCACTATTCTGTATCCTATGCTGCAAAAGGGAACATACGTCCATACCTTTTTCATCAACTTAAGCTAACACATTAAACTGGCTATAGTAGTGAATAAGAGGTCAGAGCATCACCAAAAAAAATCTTGTTCAAATTTGGTGGATTAATTTTAAGTCCACATACACTGAGAGATGTTTGATGCTTGTTGATGGAAAGGGAATAGTTAAAAAAACTTGCTTTTAGACATCCTGTGAGATGCATATTCTAAGGCTAAATATTTGGGATTAGCTATTACAGTCATGGCTTGAGCTGCCTAAAATAAACTACCACTGATCCAGGAGCCATGTCACTGTGTCATGTTGGTGTTCAGTAAGTGTTAATGTACTGAAGTACTGAGGCCTGAGCAATAGGCCCAGAACCAAAGTTGACCTCTAGATGAACCTCCCAATCAAGTGTTATAATATTAGCATCTGATCATCGATGAAATATGTATAATCATTAGTACAATATGTATGATCATTAGCAAAAGACATAGCTTGGATAAAATATAATCATTAGTGAAGGCCGAACGTCATGAGAATGTGTTTATCTTTCCTGTTTAGAGGCAGGTTGTCAAGGCCATGAAACCAGATGTCAGCCTTGTTCGGAAATATGTGGGCAAAGCCAAACAGAAAAAGAAACTCCCTTGGTTCTTCCTTAACCCCTGGACAGGCTTTAGGTGAGATCTAAAGGAAAGTGAAACCAGATGTTTCTATATAAACTTGTTTATTCAGCAATATAGAAAGCTGGACCCT